CAGCTATCTCTCCTTATTTTGAGTTGTGCCCCATCAGCAAATGAAGGTGCCAAAAGCTTTACTCCATTTGCATCAGAGTCAACTCTACTTTGAGGACACAGTTCTTTCCCAGTCATATTTTGAGTGTCCTCCGATCTGAGGGGCTCATCTTCTTGCACAATATCTGACATTCTAGTGCTATTCATCATGTTTCAATATTTAATATTCTGTTGCTATCTGACAGTGTTCCACAGCTATTAATAAAGGTTTCAGTCACTAAACATTTGGAAGTATTCCACCTCTCCTTCGAAGTCTGTCTTAGTCTGGAAGCTTAGCTGAAACCTGTCCACCATGGTTGGCTCTGCCAGAGTTCAAAATACTGGTGGCATAGCTTCCAGCATCACAGAAAACACAAGCCACCATAGTGTGACAAACTGGCAGATGAGTGTGGGGACAAAGCTAATAGAGGAAATTAAGAGTGAAATAGAAAACCTAAACAGACAGACAGAATGCCAGAAATCTTTTAATACTGATAGTTAGGGAAAGCCTATATGAGAATGACATAAAACTCCACAAAAAAAACTAATAAATCTGAAAGCATCATATGCTTAAAATTTTGAATAGTATAACATACCAAAACCAATGTCAAAGATTCAGCAGACTAGAAAAATTATTTAACAACTACAGTTACTCCTTATATGTGAAACTATCTGTTCGTCATACTGTTGAGGCTCATGTGTAGCTATGATGCTAGAAGCTTCACCACCAGTACTTCACACACCAGCGGGGTCACTCATGGTGGACAAGTTTCATTGGAGCTTCCAGACTAAGATAGTCTAGAAGAAAAGCCTGGTGATCGACTTTTGAAAATCAGCCAAATCAATTCTTATGCATCCCAACAATTCATTATCTGACTTGCTTTCTTTGGACATGTCATTGGAAGGGATCAATGGTTAGAGGACACCATGTTTGGTGAAGTGGAGGACCAATGAGAGCGAGAGAGACCTATGGTGGGATGGATATTGGCACAGGGGCCATAGCAACAGACTGACACATGAGTCAGGATGGTACAGGACTGGGCAACATCTTGTTGTTTTACATAAGGTCTCCATGAGTCAGAGTCAATTCGACGGCACTTATTTGTCCATCTAATATATTTAAAAGGTCTTACAAGTCAATGAGAAATAGCAAAACATACTAATAGAAAATCCACAGGGAAAATGAATAGGCAATTCATGGGGAGTATAAACTAAGGTTTATAAACAATCAGAAGCACTTCTATTTTTATTCATACTTGTAAGTTTCTCAGAAGGGAGACAGCAGATTTTATAATCATTTCAAAAACTAGGCCTGGAATTTATTTAGACAGGCACTTCAAAAATTCATGGCAAATTCAAATATATTTGAAATGATGAGTCTTTACTTTACCGAAAGAGTATCATTATCCTGTACACTAGCCATGCTGTGTGACTTTACATTATTTTGTAAACTCGGGTTTCACATCTTGAGATTCATACAAGTTATATTATTTACATAGTCAATAAAAATAATATGACAGTAAAAAGTGCATTTATTTTATGTTTAATTTTTTTCATTCTAAAAACATTAACTTACCTTTTTACCAGGAGAAGAGGGCTTAAAAGGTGTTGGAAGGGATGGTGGCTTCTCTGCTTTTTTAATTGGTGGTAAAGGTTTATCAAAAGTATAAGGATTACTATCAAAATATTCCTTTGGGTAAGAGCTTAACTTGAAAGGTAACCCTTTAATTAATCGGTGGTGTTCTTCATTCTCTTTCTGTAAATTAAAATGTATGAAATTATATAGCATAAATTACTCAAATTGGAAAACAGGTAATTTAGACCAAATCTTTAAACTTTTTAATATAGGTATCTAGATTCTTTAATATGTACTAATGGATTCACTTTTTAAAAATATTCCTTTGTTGAATTCTGTTTTACATGATAGACAATATATCCCTATTTATCATGAATGAGCACAACTGTGATCATTCATTTAGGATATAAATTTGCAGTAGTCTATTGCCATCAAGTCGATTCTGTCTCACAGAGACTCTGTATGGGGATTCCAAGGTTTTCAGTCATTGCACGAGTTGAAAGTCTCCTCTTTCTCCCGTGGAGCAGCTGGGGGGGCTTGAACTGCCAACTTTATGGTTAGCAGTCTAGTGCTTATCCTAATGTTCCACCAGGGATCCTTATTTGAAGGATAAAGCCACTGCCATGAAATCAATTCAGAATTATAGTAAGTCTGCATAAAGTCATCATTCTCCCATGGTGTGGATGGTGGGTTTGAACTGCCAACCTTGAAGTTATCAGTGCAGTGCTTATCCTACAGTGCCACACACCAGGACTCTAGAGCTCCTTATAAAGAACTACTTATCATTGAAAAAAATCTATTAATGTATCGGGGTCAATTTAATGTAGCAGAAAAAGGACTGGTTTCTAGTTCAAACCCTCGTTCCTTCCTGTTTTTAGTACTTCTCAAGGACCATGGGAATGCTCTTTTGATGTCAAATATTCTTCAACTGTAAATAAGGATAACAATTCCTCTTCCCTTAAAGTTAATATGAAGATTAAATGAGACTACATAATTAAAGCACATGGTAACCCACTTCCTTCCAATCTATTCCAACTCATGGTGACCATACAGGAAAAAGTAGCACTACTCCATATGGTTTCCAAAACTGTCAATCTTTACTGAAGCAACATTTGTCTCTCCAGAATGACTGGTTGGTTTGAACTACTAATCATTCAGTTAGTGGCTGAGCTCTCTAACCACTACAGCACCAGGGTGCCTGGTCCTCAATAAATTTCTATGTTTACTTCTAAGACTAAGGAATACTTTATTTTTACATTATCATACTGTTTTACATTGTTGTTGTAAGGCGCTGTCTAGTCAGTTCCGACTCATAGCAACCCTATGCATAACAAAATAAAACAATGAGCCATCCTTGCACCTGTCCTTACGTTTGAACCCACTGTGGCTGCCACTGTGAAAATCCAACTTGTTGGGGGTCTTCCTCTTTTTCTCTGACCCTCCACTTTACCAAGCATGATGTCCTTCTCCACAGACTAGTCCCGCCTGATAACAAGTCCCAAGTCTTTGCCTCCTTGATTCTAAGGAGCCCTCTGACTGCATTTCTTCAAAGACTGCTTTGTTTTTCTGGCAGCCCATGGTACTTTAGCGATTCTTCTCCAACACCAGAATCCACATACTTTTTATATTACAACACTAACTGCCTTGGTGGTGTAGTGTTGGGCTGCTAAATGAAAGGTTGAAGGTTCAAACCCACCAGTCGCCCAGGGTTGCTATGAGCTGGAATTTACTCAATAGCAGTGGGTTTAGACTGTTGTTGTTGTTGTTGTTGTTGTTGTTGTTGTTGTTGTTGTTGTTTTTAAGGTTCAAGAATGATCCCTAGTGACACAGTGGTTAAGTACTCAACTGCTAACAGAATGATAGGCAGTTACAGCCTGCCACCCACTCCAAAGAGGACAAGACCTGAAAATCTGTGCCCATAAAGATTCCAGCATAGGGGCAGTTCTACTATATCCTATAGGGCCATGAAGGTACACAGCAAGCCAAATATACACCAACCAACACACTATCAGAAAGTCAATTCTGACTCGTAGCAACCCTATAGAGTAGTTCAGAATGGCTGGTGGGTTTGAACCACCTACCTTGCAGTTAGCAACATAGTGGCTAACCCATTGCACCACCAGGGCTCCTTAAAACAACCAAACCAGTTGCTATTGAATTTATTTGGACTCATGGTAACTCCATGTGTTTCAGAATAGAATTGTGTTCTATAAGGTTTTCAAAGGCTGTGATCTTTGAGTAGTAGATTCACCAGGCCTTTCTTCTGAGAAACCACTGGGTAGATTCGAACAGCTAATTTTTAGTTAGTACAGAATGCTTAGGGAGTCCTGGTGTGGTGCTGTGGGTTAATGAGCCATTCTGCAAAGCCGTTTGAACTGCAAGGTTGGCAGTTCAAGCTTACCAGCTGCTCCTCAGAAACCCTATATAGGGTTGCTATGGGTCAGAACCGACTCAACGGCACTTCACAACAACAACAGAGAATGCTTAACTATTTGTACCACCCAGATACAGGTAGCAAACTATGTTGTTATTGTTAAGTACTGATGAGTCAGTTCCAACCTTATATAGGGTTCCCAGGAGTAGCTGGTGAGTTTGAACTGCTGACCTTGAAGTTAGCAGCCCAGCGCTTATCCTACAGTGCCACATTAGTAAGTAAACTATAGCTGGAATTAAAACTGTATCCCAGGAAAGGCTGAGAGGATCTACAGCAAAAGGTGGGAATCTAAAATCAAAAAGATAAATCTTAATCACAATCCATACACAGCAGTTTACCATTGCTCAGGGATGACAAAAAGAACGAAAGAAAAGATAATTATACTACAAGTGAATTCTCTGAGTCAAACAAAAGAGAAGGTGGAAAAAATTCAAACTAGATGATTTTACCTTGTAAGTTAGTTTTGGCTCATCATAGTAATCTGCGGAGTGTGAAGGCTGTTTGCCTATGGTAAGGTTTGCATAGCTGAGGGAGAAAAGTCAGTAGTGGTGATTTCAAGACTTGAGAATTTTGAACATTATTTCATTTTCTTCAATCCAAAGCAACTGGTAGGAAAGTACGAAATATCTTACCCATATCCAGTTCCTTTCTTGCCTGGGTTTGTATATAAATTCTTTCCAGGTGCCCTGTATTTTTCTCTGGGTTTTAACTGTGCACTGAAGAATGGGACTGGGCCACCAATTGTTCCATAGTAGCTTCCAAATCCACACCTTAAATATCATTTGTCATTTTTGTTATTAATAATAGCACGAATAAAGGAGCAGAAAGCATACAATGAAATGAACTTGCCTGATTTTGGTAAAAAATAAAACAATCTTACTAACCTAATTTGGTTTCCCCAATTTTATTGAAGTCACAAATTTTGGGATGAGATCATGATTTTTCACTTTTTATACTTATTTTAGATGTTCCACATAAATAAAATGTTATGACTTTTTTCGGAAGTTAGGATAGCATCTATTAATTCTGTTAACTATAACAATAAATAGACCCATTTTTGTTTTTAGAAGAATGTCTAGGAACTTTATGACAAATTAGATAATAATTAACCAATTTGTTCTGACCATCCACACACAAGGAACTACATTTTCAAACCATATATAAAATATTTAAAAGCATTGTTTGTGCTGTTAATGGTATAGTGAATCTCACAGAATTTTGGTGGAAATTTTCTTCTTTTTACTTGTTAATTAAACTTATTACTACTTTACTGAAGAGAAATTAGCCAAATGTTATCTTTAATTTTAATGTACATTTCTCTTGACCCATAGAATTTATGTCATCATTTACTGCTAGTCATTAATCATTCTAACAAACTGACTCCACGGCACATAACCACCACCACCAAAGAAGTAGAATCTGATCTTCAGAGTTACAAATGACCTAGTTTCAACAAAAATTAAAATTGCAAGGGATACAAAGAAAAAGAAAAGACTAGCCCTTTCAAAACAAGAAACTAGAGCTACAGAACCAATTATGTGGAATCCCAAATAATGTACTTACTAGATGAGACTTTAAAACAACAGATTTACATATGCTTAAAGAGCACAAGGAACTAAAATAAATTAGGAAAATTACATGCTAATCAAGTGAGAATATCAACAAAGAGAGAGAAGTTATAAAAAGGAATAAAACATAAATGCTGGAGCTGAAAAGTACAATGCAGGTATGCATTGCTTAACAACTAGCTGGGCAATGTCTGGCACATATAAGGTGCTTTTTTGTCTTTTAAAGGAAAAACTGCTCTCCCTTTGTACATTAAGTTCCACTGATGATTTTAAAGATCCCAAACCTAGACTCTTACAGCATTAGGCCAAGGTGAGCTAGAGACAGAGACAGGACATTATGTTCCGTGGAGTCGGTTCCAACTCATAGCGACCCTGTACAGGGTTTCCAAGGCTGTAAATCTTTACGGGAGCAGAAAGTTTCATTTTTCTCCTGCAGAACAGCTGGTAGTTTCCAACTGCTGACCCTGAGGTTAGAAGCCCAATTCATAACCACTACACTACCAGAGCTCCTTGGGTTTGATTTTTGTTTAGTTTTGTTTTTAATTGTCAAAAGCAGTCCTCATGTGGCACTGTGAGTTAATGCGCTGGACTGCAAGGTTTGAACTGCAAGGTCGGCAGTTCAAGCTCATCAGCCACTCCTTGGAAACCGTATACAGGGTCTCTATGCGTCAGAACCAACTCGATGGCACTTAACAACAACAGTAGTCTGTTCAGTGACCTTTCATTCATATATATATAAACATATCTATGCATTTTTCTCCTGGACATGTGTGGACATTAAAGTCCCTTAGCTTGTGTCCACTAATGCTTAGGCAAAAATGTCCTTGAATGTTAAGGGTATGGGGAGGAAGGAAACAATCTCCCCAATCTTGCAAATTGGCTTGTCCTAGAGCCCGCCTTACTATTTAGCCAGGCGCCACCAAGTATATGGGAAAATGTAGGATCTCTTCAGGTATTTCTTTAGCAGCATGTACTATGCCCTGGGTAAGGAGCTCTTGGAGCATAGTGGTTACAAGTCAGGTGCTAACCTGAAGGTCAGCAATTGGAAACTACCTACAGTTCCATGGGAGAAAGATGAGGCTTTCTGCTCCTGTAAAGATTTATAGCCTTGGAAACCCTGTACAGGGTCGCTGGGAATCAGAACAGACTCCATGGTACATAACCACCACTACCACTATGCCCTGGGTATGTGTATCACTTTCTCAGTCACACACACAGTAGCTACTTGTCAAAAGCTCAAACTGTCAAAAGAACACTCTCCCTGGCCTTTTGTTCAAGTCCTTGTTGTTGCTATGTGCCATTGAGTCAGTTCCAACCCATAACAACCCTGTATAAGGTTTCTGAGGAGCAGCTGTTAAGCTTGAACCATCAACTTTGTGGTTCAAACCAACTTTGCAGTACAGCGTATAAA